AGATTGATGAAGGGAGAGTCTGTGGTGAATGTCAGGTTGGAAAGCATACTAGAATGTCACATCCAAAGACAAGACATCTGACCACCTCTAAGGTGCTAGAACTTCTACATATGGATCTGATGGGTCCCATGCAGGTGGAAAGTCTTGGTGGAAAAAGATATGCCTATGTTGTTGTGGATGATTTTTCCAGATTCACCTGGATAAACTTCATTAGGGAAAAGTCTGATGTATTTGATGTATTTAAGGAATTGTGCAAAAGAATTCTGAAGTATGTGTGTGGAACTTACAATTATGGCATGCTGTACTCTCATGGATGTGAACCAATTCTGTCTAGGTACTGTGATTGGGCTGGTAGTGCTGATGATAGAAAGAGCACCTCTGGAGGATGCTTCTTTTTGGGAAATAATCTTGTTTCTTGGTTCAGCAAGAAACAAAACTGTGTGTCTCTATCTACTGCTAAAGCTGAATACATAGCAGCTGGTAGCAACTGTTAAATGATCTGGAAGAAACATATACTAACTGAGTATAATGTCACATAAGATGTCATGACATTGTACTGTGACAATTTGAGTACTATTAACATATCCAAGAATCCTATACAGCACATCAGGACTGAGCATATTGACATTAGACATCACTTCATCAGAGATCTTGTGGAGGAGAAGGTGATTAAGCTGGAACATGTTGCCACTGAACTACAACTGGCTGATATTTTTACCAAGGCACTTGATGCTAGTCAGTTTGAGAATTTAAGGGGCAAGCTGGGTATTTGCCAATATGAAGAGATGTAGCAATTAATTTTGCTTAATACAAGGTTTGAAAGATATATTTTAATCAAGTTTATTCTGATTGGGCTAATCATTTGTTTCCCTCTTTCTTTCCAAAAGTTTAAGAAGAGGAATAGACATATTTATATCTCCCTTTTCTCAGTTTGCTGCATCACTCTCCATTCCCTCAAAAGAAAATTTCACACTCGCTGTCACTTGTGTTCTCAATCTCTTAAGATGTCTCAATAATCTGTGTCATCGTCTTCATCAAAGGAAACTGCATCTTCCTTACCCACTGACACCGAACCTAGGGCAAACGTAAACACCATGGATGTTGATGTTCTTGAGGTAACTCCACTTCGTGCAATGGCAGCTGATCTTACTAAGGTCAAGAAGCTGCGTACCAGACATGCAAGAAGATCACAAGCTTCTACCTCTGGTAAATCTTCTCAACCATCATCCTCTGTTCCTCCAGAGATATCTAATAGGGAAGGTTCTGCTTATGTGCATCAAGCTATTGCCAGACTAGTCACTAGGATTCTTAATGAGAATCACTCTGTTCCTGGTGTATCTGTACCATTGAACCAAGAAACTGCTAGCCCTAATTTAGAAAGTGATCCCAATGTCACTCAGAATGTTGAGACACCTGATGACAACATTGAGAAATCTCCAGAGAAACCTGATGATCACCAGACCCCTACTGACAAGGCTGTTGAACCTCCTGTCATTGATATTGATGAAGAATTTTCTGACAATGATTTAATTGCTAATATCAACCCTAGCATAGCAAGAAGGATGATGAGTAGAAAAGAAAAGCAGAGTGCTGCCCAAAGCCCCTCCAAAGAGAAGGCTACTGATGTTGTTCATGAGAAAGCTAGGCCTGAGAACAAGGCTAGAGAAGAAGCTGAGAAGGATCAAAAGGCTGGAACTTCCAAAGGGAATGGTAAGGTAAAAGCTAGGGTATCTGTTGGTAGTCTCTCAAAACCCTTAAGACAACCTATAGCCAAGAAAAGAAAGGCTCCTGAACCCTCTGAATCTGATGAGGAATCAAACTTTGATTTTGATGTTGAGAGCAATATTCCAGACATTCCTCTCAGGAAGAAACCCTCTTCTAGCAAACTGCCTAAGGTTCCTGAGGTTGCCATTGACAGCATCTCCTTTCACCATCCATAAAATGCAAGCAGGTGGAAGTATGTGTTTCTGAAAAGGATTGCCTTAGAGAGGGAGCTGAACAGAAGTGTTATTGAGTGTAAGGAAGTCATGGATCTCATCAAGGCTGCTGGCCTGATGAAAACAGTGGTCAAGTTTTCCAACTGCTATGAGATTCTTGTCAAAGAATTCATAGTAAATTTGTCTGGTGGATGTGTTGATGGAAAGTCAACTGATTTTAAGAGTGTTTATGTGAGAGGAAGGAAGGTAAATTTCTCTCCTACTGTGATAAACAAATACATAGGGAGGCCTGATGATGCTCAGCCTGAGCTTGAAGTTACTGACAACCAGGTTTGTCAAACCATCACTGCCAAGCAAGTCAAGCACTGGCCCTTTAAAAGAAAGCTAACTGCAAGCAAGCTGAGTGTGAAGTTTGCCATACTGCACAAAATTGGTGTAGCTAACTGGGTTCCCACCAACTACAAATCGACAATCTCTACTGGTTTAGGAAGATTTATCTATGCTATTGGAACCAGAACAAACTTTGATTATGGCAACTACATCTTTGATCAAACAATGAAACATGCTGAGAGCTGTGCTATTAAAGGCCCTATTGCTTTTCCCTCTCTCCTGTGTGGTATAATCATTGATCAGTATCCTGATATTCTGGTTGAAAAGGACTTTGTGTGCAAAAGAGCCCCTGCACTTGGTTTTCACTATAAGCTGTTTCAGGGAACACATGTCCCTGACATTGTTATGACATCTGCTGAGACATCAAATGTCAAAGCTCATTCCAAGAAAGCTAATGTTATAGCTGTTCTAAAAGAAACCTATAGAGAGCTTGATGCAAGAAAAAGGACTCTTGAAGAGCTGATTACTAGTCCGAAACAGTAGGAGAATGAAGAACAAATGAGGGAAGAGGATGCTGATGAAAGAACATCATGATGGTTCTGCAAGAAGCTCACCAGAAGATGCTGCTGAAAGTAGTGCTTCCTCAGGGGATGACAGTACCTAAAGGTCTGTGTTTGCTGAGTTGTAAAGATTGATGTTGGAACTTGCTGCTGCTATTTGATACCTTCTCTCTGTTTCTGTGTATTTTGGATTTCCTTTTGATGACTGTATAACTTGAAGTACTAGAACCTTTGGCCTCTTTATGGCTAAAAAGGGGGAGAAGTAATTGTGGTAATTTTGGTAGAATTGGATATTGGTAGTTAGATTAGCTGTTATTAAAAATTCTGCTATTCTGCTGCTTTCTAATCTCTGATTGTTTAGGGGTTTTAGTCAAAAATTTGCCAAAGGGGAAGTTTGTAAGTGTTTGCTTTTTGGCATTAATTTTTGGTAAAACCATATTTGCGAATGTCATGACTGATGTCATAACATTCTGGGATAAAGACAAATTCTGCAGAAGGAATGTTCTACAGGAACAACTCAGTATGAGTGAATATCATGATGATTAAGCTATGATCATATGTACTGAATTCTACCAAAATCTGTGAGCAGGATACATGATGTCATAACCAATGTCATAACCAATGTTAAGACATCCTGTACTGATCAAGTTGTTGTGCAGATTTATTGTTCCTGAGAATTTTCAGGAATCTGGTGTGCTATTCTGAGTTGAAGTATATTGACTAGATCATATGCTCACGTGGATATTAGGTTAACCTTGCTTAACCCTAATCTGTTATGATGAAAGCCCAAGACCAAGTCTTTAGGTTAACTTTGGTTAACCCTATATATTTTTATGGAAGCCCAAAATGAAGAATAGACTGCATATATATTTCTCACGAATCCTAATGGTGTGGAGCGCTTTTAGAGAAGATCAATAAGACATTATGTAGTTGTGATAGTCTTAGCAATTACTGTGAGCCAAGCAATTATCACTTGATAAGTGACTTGGAGTAGGATTTGGTTGTAAGGGTTGTTTATCACTCAAAGCTTTGAAGCACAAGTGTTGTGTCTCTTGATTAAAGCTTTGAAGCAAAATCAAGCGTGTGTATTGAAGAATGTCTTTATAATCTTATTAATCAGTAGATTAGTATCACTGCTGTGATTGAGGGGGAGTGAGTAGGAACTCAGGTTTAAGTAGGACTTAGATTGAAGTTGCATTAGGTAGGTCTTAAGTGAAGGAGATAAACTGGTTAGTTTATTCCTAAATTAATACCTCTTATAGTAAATTTCCTCCCTGGCTTGGTAGCCCCCAGATGTAGGTGTTATTATACACTGAACTGGGTTAACAATTGATTGTGTTCTTTACTGTATTTTAAATTACTGTTTGGTTTGTGTACAATCTGTCAGATACGGTGTCATAACATTCACTGTGACATTAAGTATCTGTTGCCAGAATTTCAGGGATTACTCCCTCTATTTATAATTGAGCTTGCTTTCTCCCTAAGCCAAAAAGTTTGAAACTATAAAATCCAAAAATACCTATTTTAGACCTAAATCAAATCTAAATCAAATATGTGTGTAGCAACCTGCTTACAACACTTTGACACACCTTGTGTTCGAGCAACAACCTACTTCGACACAAGGAATTACACTTTCAACAACTAGTAATAATGACTTGATTGCTGATTGTGTTGTCTTTTAAGAGGTTGTACGAGTGAGTGTCTTGGAGGCTTCACAAGATATTTGAATTCTTGTAGTGCATATATTGCTGAATTTTGGAGTGTGCTAGAAGGATTAAAATTAGCAAAAGAGTTTGAGTTTTGAACTATTGAGCTTTATATAGATTTCAAAGTGGTTATTCAAAATATTTTGGATTTTGAACATGGTAGTATAATAAGAATGTGATTGGTTTAACAAATCCAACAACTGCTCAAATTAGATTGGGAGATACGTGTTTTTCATATTTATTGTGAGTCAAACACTTATGCAAATGTACTTGCTAACACATGGTGTGATTTAAGCCTGATTTGATGCTTTATGATCGAGTTTATACTGTTTCTCTTCTTTTGTTAGCTTATTGTATTAGAGTCTTTACTCTTAGGTGGATTGCTATGTAATCTTTTTTTCTCCGGGTCTTCGACAATCTTTTCTTTAAAAAAACTTATATTTTACTAGAGTGTCTTGTATCCTTCGATGTGGCAGCCTCCTGGGAGTAGGAGGAAATTATCCCTCAATACACATGATGTAACCAAAGATATTGACCAACATAAGTTGACTATAACAAATCCTCAAGTCGAACCATACTTTTTTCTGCATCATAAAACAAATCATTTTGATCAACAACGGTGGAGCAATTCTGAAGGAAAACATGAATCGAAGAACACACACATAGCAGTCTTTCTTGAGAGACTGAATAAAGCAACATGTTGTATGTTCTGGCATCCTAGATAAAGCAATACCCAAATTAAATTTGGCACAAATAAGAGATACAACACCAGCATTGATTTCCCCTATTATTGGATCATCCTTACTACTCAAAGAGTCCAATCTTGACCCAGAGCTATCATTGGACGCATTCTGAGCAGAAATGGGAGAATCCACCCTATAAAAATGTCCATAAGTTCTAGATTCTCAACTCTGATATAGGATGAAGACTCGTAACTATCAGGTCAAAAGGGCACGTTTATAGGCACATTAGGAAGAAAAGACACGAGAAAAAGGATGATCCACAATGATAAGATGATGAATAGTTGAAGTTACTGAAACTCACGAACAATAGAAAAACTCAAGAGAGAGAAGTAGATTTTGAACGATAGTCGAAGCAAAAAAGACATTTGAAAAAGGATTTAGTTATTTATAGGGAGGTAAATAACAAATCAATAGCTCATATTAGAAATTAAAAAAGGTGATCCAAAGACGACAATTCAATAATTTCTTGGGAATATAAGTGATTCAAAGGCATTCAAATACCTTAAAGAGAAAATTCACATCTTAACCTGCAGGTATAGATCCATGTGCTTGGGAGAATGACTAAATATCTCAATGATGGAAAAAATATTTAATGCCTTTGTTCCCCACTATTTTATAATTGCTCCATGACTTTTCCACTCGTCCTTATGATCACACATGATGGTAAGATGTCAACCACGACTTTGAAAGACTTCCCGACTAAAACACCTGACAAGCCTTGGGGACAATTGTTATATGCTGACCAAAGCCTAAGGCAGAAGCACAATCAGACATAGACCAATTGAAATTATCTAATATATATATATATATATATATATATATATATATATATATATATATATATATATATATATATATATATATATATATATATATATATATGAAATTGAAGTACAATTTTCTGATATCCACTTTTTACTTCATTCATCTTGAATTCGATAACTAACTTGAATATTAGAATGATAATATTGTAGGTCCACCCATGTCATAGTATGAAAATCAACACCACCTCTTCAAAAGTTCAACCTATAATATATTAAAAATGAGTATTATTTTTCTTTTAATTATTACATTCTTCTTCTTTTATGGGAGTTATTACATTCTTCTTCTTCTTTTTTTTATGGGAGTTATTACATTCTTATGTACAAAAAAAAAAAACCTTAAATTACATTTACTTTGTGGTAATAAATTATTTTTGAGTAACACATTAATATTTTCCAAAGCTACCTCTACTTTGTTTAGACAAAAGAATTTCCACTAGTAAAGTGGCAGGCAGGCATCAACAGAGTCCCAAACGGCGCACAAACAAACCGTCCCAAACACTCGCATCATCATCATCTTCTTCTTCTTCTTCATATCTCTCCGTAAACTCGCCGATTTCAACAATAGGTAATCATCGATTGCACCTCTCTATTAGCTGATTTAATTTTCCTATAATCAATCATACAAACCATGTTTATGCGCCTAGTTTCAAATTCCATACCTTTAATTACGATAATAATAAGAATATTAATGATTATTATTATTATTATTATTCATAGTTTGTGGGTCTTGACTTTGAATACCGTTTTTTCAGCATTTATTTCGGATCCTTCTGACTTTACCACTCTGACGATTTTCCATTCCATGTATTTATATATTCATTCATCACTCTTTCACCACTCTCTAGCTCAATCATTTCATCCTTTGTTTTTGGGGAATTTCATTTCATGTTTTTTCTTCCCAATTTGCTGCTGATTTTAGGTTACTACCCACTTTTCCCCCAATTCATGTGTGTAATGGACTAATTGTGTTGCTTCATTGTTATGTATTGTTTTTTATGTGTTTTTTTTTCCTCTGTAGCACGGACACTTCTGAAGACATCTGGCTCTGTGTCGGACCCTACACCGACACTTTTGATTACATTCAATTTATTTATTTATTTTCAAATTATTATTCGTGGTGATGTGTCAGTGTCAGTATCGTGTCCGGTGTGTCTGTACTTCTTAGGTTTTGTTTGTTTGTTTTGTTTTGTTTTGTTTTGTGGTGTGTTTTAAATTGAAATTGTGTTTAACTTCAACAATAGACTGCTTGAGTGACAATGATAGTTTCTTTTGGGTTTTGTTTGTTATAGTATTGATCTTTGCAATTGATTATATGCTTTTTTTTTGTTACTGTTCCAGGTTGATAGTTGTGGTCTAGATCTGTGTTTTCGGATGCAATTGGTGATTTGGTGGCTGTTTTAGTGTGAGAAGGTGAAAGCTGTTGTTACTTCATAATGGGTGCTGCTTGTTTTGTTGCTGCTAGAGATAAAACTGTACAGAGTGGATCGACTAATGAGAATTCACATCGGAATATTCGGTGTTCACCGACGTGGAGCTTTCGTTGGGATAATCGAGGAGGGCGTGTAGCTGGCGAAGATACTTCTATAAACTGGTTTTCTGATGGGAATAGCAGGAATGATGGATCGGAGAATAAAAATGAATCGGGGCATGTATTAGAGGAGGGAAGTCCGTTGCAGAACTCTCAACCGAATGCTATCCGAAAATCTCCGATTTCTGAAGGGACTGGTCCAAATGTTAGAGATTCAACTTCAGGTAACCTTCAAACAGTTAGCTTTCTGCATTTAACTTTGCACCTATGTGGTTTGGACTGTTTAGAGTTGTCTTTTGTATCGGTTATTTTACAATTCATCTTGTTTAGATCCCAGATCGACTAGAAATATGACCAAGATATTCCTTATATAACATGAAGAAACTTCACCGTAAGAGCTAACTTGTCGGGTGAAGTTATATATAAACAAAAGTTTGAGATATAGTCCATATTCTAGATATCTAGTTGTAAATGCGAAGGGGTGTTGTTATTGGGCCACCCACATATGCCCATGCTTTAGATGTTAGGTCTTGAAGGTGAGAGGGTGTGCTGAGGTCCCACATCGATTAGAGATACAGCCAATGTGATCTTAATTAGGGATGACAAACGGGCATACCTCCCTCCGGAAATGCTCACGAAAAAATCGGGGCAGGGTAGACCTTGCATCCCTAAAGCCTAAAAGTGGCAAAAAGCCATGTCCTCCCTGTTAATGTTCGCAACTGCCAAAATTGGGGCGGGGAAGGGCGGGCAGAGTAGAGGGCGCGGGCCTAAAATTTTGGCTCGGCTTGCAAAAAATTGTGGGCAAACCAGGCATCCCGGCGGGCCAATCCGTTTTGCTACCCCTAATCTTAATAATGCCTGGGCCATGCTTGACCTTAATTGTTATCTTTTGGTGTTGAGTTAGGTCCAACTCAAATTCTAAGACATTATACACTTAATGTCACAAATATATGTGAAAGATACAATTGAGTACTTGGTGAGATACATTAATTTTTAAGACATGGTTATGCCTTCTTAAATATACTTATATCAATACTAATCATTTTATTCCGATCCTACCCTCAAATTAATACCATATGATTCACTCCCAGGTCAATTATACTACACTGCAAATTTATGACAATGTTTAACACTCAATAGTTAATAAGAATGTTTTTATAAGTTGTCAGTACTTCCTTTACATCTCATATTAAGTGTCTTTTAAGGATATGCTCACTATTTAAGAAAATCATACTTCTATGCTAAAATGAGTTCCATTTATTAAAGTTCCTTTACTAATAGTAGTTAGTTAGTGGAGTGGTTGAGTGATTATGCTACAATGAATAAGGGTATAGTAGTAATAATAATAATAATAATAATTGTTTCACAGGTAATTTAGAAAGATAAATAGTATGAGACACGTAGATATTCTAAATGAGACATTTAATATGAGATGGAGGGGGTACACCCTTTCATTTTATTTGCAATTTTTCTTAAGCTGCGTTAAAAAATAAGAACCTAAACCAATACTTAACTAGCTTTTGTGGGTTAAGTACAATCTCAAATTCTATGATGGTGTCAGAGGCTTTTTTGATCCAATTAAAGCTTAATAAGAGATTTGCATCAAACAAACAGGACAAAATAGTGACGTTGACTGTAAACTTGTAATCATGATTGTGCTGATGATAGTCCATTATTTATGTTAACCTCAGTTAAATCTGACCACCTGAACCTTTCTGCTAAGATTTGAACTAGGTAATAAAAAATTCTGCTAGTTTTTTTTTCTTATTTAAATGTATGTATGGTATGACACTATTATAATGTAACTGATCCAGTCATTGACAATTGTTCTGTCAACTGGTTCTTTTGTAGTATATGACATGGTTATTCATGTGTATTGCAGATGTATCTATTTCAAGGTCTGTGTCTATTGATGCGAGCATGGAACAGGTGAGGTTATACATTGATTTTGTTACAAAAATAATTATTTACATTTTTGCTTAGCTTTTGTTGGTATGGTTTCTTTCCTAACTAAAAAATCACTTTCTAGGCAAATGGGTTGGGAGAATCATCGTTAGCATCTTCGCCATCACCTGCAAAACCATCATTGCACTCAACTTCATTGTCAGCATCTCCTTTATCATCCCAATATCACATACTTCCACCTAGCTTTACCCCATCAAGGTGGCCCGGTCATTCCCCAGGACACCAGCTGTTATGGCCAACTTCTGATATTCGAATGCAAGCATGTAAGTCGCCCGGCAGCTTCTCTCTGTCTGAGGAAAGACCTGTGTTTCCTTCATGGAGCAACGGATCAGGAATGCGCTCCCGTGGTGGATCTTCAGATGGTTGGTCTATACCTGGCTTCTCAGAGCTAATGGGAGCTCACCACAGACAAAGATGGTCATTGGATAGTGAGTCCTTTGGTTCTAATTACGAAAGGATAGCTAGATCCGGTAGTTGGTTTTCAGCCTCGCCTGTTGATTTGAGAACATGTGGCTTTTGCTCAAAGGTTTTAAAGGAGAAATCTCCTTGGAGTACCCAAAAGATATATACAAGTAATGACCTTTCGGTAGTTGCCGTTCTTATCTGTGGACATGTCTATCATGCTGAATGTTTGGAGAATATGACAGCTGATATTAGTAAGTACGACCCAGCTTGCCCAGTCTGCAGCTTCGGTGAGAAACAAACTATGGAGCTGTCCAAAAAAGTTCTGAAAGTTGAAATGGATTTGAAGGCTAGAAACCAGACATTGGAGAATCAGGTTGAGTACAGTGATATTGAAAACGATGATTCTATTGCGTTTGATAGCATTAAAGGGAAAGAACCTATAGGTAAAGGTAAAGGTCCTCGGCTGGACTCCAGTTCTCGTGGGAGAAGAAGCTCCTTTGGGAAACCTTTTTTGAGACGACACTTTACATTTGGATCAAAAGGTTCCAGATCCACGATAGATAGTCACCATACAAAAAAGAAGGTCTTCTTTTGGACAAAATCAAGCAAAGAATAAGCTGCTTCATGGTTGTTTGGAGGTTAGTTTCATCTTTTTCTCTTTGTATTGCATGCACTAATTTATCAGAAGCATCCTCTGTAATTGCTAATGCAATGCAGTGCAATGAAGAAAGAAATAAGTTTCGCTCCTTTTCCAATTTATAGATAGAAAGTTATTGTGCTTCCGCATTCTTTCTGATCTGGCTTCATGCAGCAGAAATTGAACATTCAGAGTTCAAACTCTTTGTTATACTTAGTTGCATAGACTTTAGCTGTTTAGCTTAGCATTCTGGAAACCCTAGTAATTCTTTAGCTTAACATGATTCTTTTCACCACCTTTATAGCAGGCTCTACTTCACTGTTGATAATCTCTGCACCATTCAAAGGATTATGGAGCATCTATACACTAATCTGTGATTTCAAGAAAATTAGAGGCCTAAGTTACTCTGTAAAGAACACATACAAGTATCTTTTTGTGCTGTACAGGTTGATTTGTTTATTTTATGGATATGATTCATATATCCAAATGATGTTATGCCTTCCATGATTCTTCTTCTTCTTGTATGATTCATATATCAAAATGATGTTTAGCCCAATGGTGTTTCTGGTGTCGGGCAATAGTCTCTACAGATTAATTGGCAATCGCAATACAAATTATTTTGATTGACTTAGGTTGGTTGCTTTTAATAAAATAGAAAGTTTCTGATCTGCTATCATCAAATTTGTGGCTAAATTAATTAGTGCTATGTGAAGCAAATTGTAATTTTCATCAAATTTGTGGTCCAGTAAATTTATTGGTGAGTTGATGAAGTCTTCATATCAGAGGATCAATAATAAATTGATATTAAAGCTTTTGTTGAGACAGAGAATATAATATGAAGGGAATGCTGGAGTAGAGAGAAAAAAAAGTGTTAAGTTTCTTCTCTTCATCTTTTCTCATTTATATGTGTTCTATATGACTTTCTATACACTGACACTTTAATTTTATCATCTATTTTCGCACTTTCTTTGACTATTATTACTTGTAGAGGATATGTTAGAAGCTGTTAAAAAAAATAGATTAACTAACTCGAAGTTGGTTAGTTAAGTTGTTAGTTTACTTGCTATATATAAAGTGAATGTTTAATGGTGTAAAAAAGCTGCTGAAATATTATGAATTAAATAATAACAACATCTCTACTCTATTAAGTGGTATCTAGTTCACGATTCAAAGGTGAACCTTATCTCGTGCTACGAAATCTATCTCCCTCTCCCTCTCTCTCTGATAACTTTTTCAATAACAAACCCACAAGCAGAACAATGACAATCATGAACCAAAAAAGGAATTTAATCGGAGGTTGCGAGTGGCGATTTGTGTCGGATTCAGACTGGTTAGAGCTTCAAAGCGAGTGGGAGTGGGCGGACGGTCAGACACAGGGAGGTGGGGGTGTCGTTGGACTTGGACGATCGAAGACTCGGAGGGAGAGGTGGCCGGTGGGTCGTGCCGTCGTGGTTCCCTCTCATTTCTTTTCTTTTGTCTTCTTTTTTGTGATTGTTCCACTATTTCTTTTCCATTTTGGGCTTTATTTATTTATTATCTATCTATTTTTTACTCCAAATCAAAAAATATATTTGGGCCACAAGTATGGGCAATGGCCCACCCTATATATATATATATATATATATATATATATATATATATATATATATATATATATATATATATATATATATATATATATATATATAATTTTTTTATTTTTAAATTTTCTCAACTCTTCAAATTAATTACATGGACGACAGACTTGTAATACAAGAAGAATTTTCATAAAAAATATATACTAATAATGTAAAATTATTTTATACTGT